TATTAATTATATTATTTATAATATTTATATTATTTATAATATTTATATTATTTATAATATTTATATTATTTATAATATTTATATTATTTGCAAAAAGATCACAAAAATAACTCGTGGCCTATTTGTAAATGAAAAGAAAAATAATTAAATGATGAAAAATGATTTAACGATAATAAATCGCGAATGAATTTGAATTCCTACGTTGGAATGCAGATGAAGTTTAACGATAAGGTTTGCTTGAGAGAAAAGATGAAAGAGTGTGTATTAAAATAAAGAATTTTATTTTAGAGAAGAACGACTGGTGATCAACCGCAAGAAGTCGAATGGCCGGTAACTGGGAAAGAAACAACTGACGGAATAGTTCAAAAGGAACTTAACGAAACTGTTGTCAGGAGTCGTGAGGAGATTGAAGAAAGACTTGAAACTGAGGATCGTCAACAACTTGGAGATATCTCCGACGAGGTATTATAAAACCTGACAGATTGTATATTATCAATTTTATTTGTTCTTTTTTTTTTTACAAAATTTTAGGAATATGAATACCAGCAATTGTCGTATTTGCTCATAGTTTAACTGTAAAGGGTTTCACAATTGCAATTGACACACCCACATTCTCAATTTCACGTGTCAGAGATTATTAACACATTCATATTCTCAATTCCACTTATTTTCTTAAAGAGTTGCAGTTATATTGATGCAATGAAAATCAACAATATTGTTGTATTCAGTCATAGTTTGCTGTAAAAGGTTCACAATTACAATTGACACACTTATATTATCAATTCCATTTGTTTTCTTAAAGAATTGTAGCAATATGAATACAAGTAATTTTTGTATTTGTTCATAGTTTGCTATAAAAGATTCACAATTGCAATTGACACACTCATATTTTCAATTCCACCTGTTTTCTTAAAAGAGTTGTAGCAATATTGATACAATGAAACCTTGCAATTGTTGTATTTGTTAATAGTTTGCTGTAAAGAGTTTGACAATTGCAATTGACATACCTATCAAGCTGATACAAACAATATAACAATCTTTATAATTATTAAAACTTTTGCTTTTAAATTAACACACTGATATTCTGTATTCCCACCCATCCTATTAACTAATAATAATAACAGTAATCCTCATATTTCTTAGAATATTGTTTAAAGGGCTAAGTAAGTAAAGGTCGAGAATTGCATTGTTTTATTTGTTTTATTCCCCCCCAATGAATTCATTCGCTTTGCTTGCTTTCACAACATCTTCCTCATGAATGCCTTCGTAACGATTCCCCCTTTTCTCTTTCATTGCTCACGATCAGCAATGCAATAGAAAATGGTACACACTTTCCAATAATATTGAAAGTAATATCTTGCCTATGAATGATCAATCAAATCAAATAACAATAGGACAATAATAAACAATCAAATCACATTTTGATATTGTAACATCAATTAAAATGTTCATCATTGAACGTTGATTATTAAAATGAAACTATTTCTAGGTGTATATATATATATATATATAGAAGAATGAATTGCAAAAATTCTAATAAGAAAATAAAAAAAGATAATTTTAGGAAAGATCCTAATCGTTTATTATAACACACTTCACACAAACCTAATCTTAAACATAAATTATTCACCAAGTTAGAATTAACTGCAAATTAAATATGAAGTTTGAGATATGTTAATTATGATAAGAATTCAATCTGTATAATTATCCTAATTAATAAATGCAATAAATGGGTTTGAAGTGTTTAAAACAAAAGGTACAAGTGTGGTGATTAGAAAGAAAGATTGGAAATACCGATAATTGTTGGTGTTCGGTTACGAAATATAGAAGATTGGTATATAATACAAATTATTTTGCACACATATAATTGTTTATAAAGAAATGATAATTAATCATTATGAAAATTTTAAAAAGTATATGAAAAATGCATAGAAAGAGAGAGAGAGAGAGCAAAAATATGAAAGAATTATCAACGTTGATGTTGTTAATTATTTTGGTTGTATAGTTTGTAATAGTTATGTTATTATTACTAATAAGTATTGTGATATTATTATCTTAATAGTTGTAGTAATATTATTCTTGATAAATAGTAGATCACACAATATTTATATGGTATTATTATTATTATTATTAATAATAATTTTGATTGTATAATCTGTAATAATTATTAATACATTTTGTGATATTATTCTCAATAGAGTTGTAGTAATATTATTCTTGATAATAGTAGATCACACAATCAAAATGATATTATTATTAATAATATTTTTTATTGTATAGTTATATATTATATTACCAAAACAACTATATTGTGATATTATTCTTAATAATCAATATTAAACTACACAATCAATAGTATTATTATTAATAATAATTTGGATTATATATAATCTGATTATTATCAACAACTATTGTGATATTATTCTTGATTAATAGTATTACCACAATTACCAATAATAATTAGGATTCTATATTTGACGATATCAAATAGTAGTATTGTTATTTATAATTATTATGATGATAGTAATAGTAGTAGTAGTTGTTAGTGATATTTGTGGTAATGTGTTAGTGTTGTTGTACGGAGAAGGGGGAAAAGAAAGAAAAACGCTATTCCTCTCTCTTTCTCTCTATCTCATGGTATAGAAGTAAGTAAGTAAGTAGATGTCGATGATCTCTCTCGATTTTTGCTCTCCCTTCACCCAATAGTAACTAAGGAAGAAGGAGTACGAACGAGATGCCACGACCGCAGTCGCAGCAGCTGTTTCGTCGCGGTTCGTTCGTCTGTCATAAATGGGCGCTTCATCTAAACAGATATTTTCTTCTTCATCTTCATCTTCACCTTCATCTTCATCTTCATCTTCATCTTCACCTTCAACTTCTTCTTCTTCTTATTTATTTTTTTCTCATAAATTTTCTTCACCGTCAAATCATATAAACTATTTCGCGTTTGTTAATTTATACAAAATTTGGTTTCCCTTTGAATTTATTGCCACAACTGTGTAAAATGTGATCATTCTATTTCTATTTCTATTTCTATTTCTATCTCGCTCACTTTCTCTCTTTCTCTCTCTTTCTAAAGAAGGATAATAAACGCATCGTCATCGTTTTCACGTTGTTGAGGAGGAGGTGATTCGCAGTCGTTCGTCAAGGTCAACTTACGTGCGAAGGTCGGGAATCGTTACTGTTGCACACACACACAACTCTCTCTTTCTATCACTCGCGTTTAATTTCCCCTCCCTTTTTTTTCCCTCCCCCCCTATATTTTCTCTTTCATTATTTCTATTGGTAATTTTATTTAAAGAAATAATACTCGAGGGCGGGAGGTGGGGGGTTTGACCGGTGATTTCAACGAGTGGTTGGTTTGTCGTCACTCCATAACCCGGCATTGAAATCTCCGTGTTTTAAATCGTTTAAATCCTTTGAACTAAAAAAGAAAAATAAAAAGAAAGAAAGAATGATACAACAGAAAAAATAATAAGATATAAAATTGCAACACTTGTGGGGGAAAAAAATAAAACAAATAATTGTATTAACATTATTTTTCTTTTTTTTTTTTTTTACTCGTACGCGTGTGTGAATTTTATTTGAAACACACCCCCAACAGGCATACCAAAAAGCTGTTCAAAGTAATCGTGGCGATCTGAGAATAGCATTGGCCGAATCGACGAAACAAATTGCACCACAGACGGGACCAAGGATATTGCAGCATATCACCAGGTCGAACAAGGTCATCGACACTGAGAAGACCCTGGAAAAACAGGAACTCAAATCCGACGGGCTAATTGTTACGGAGAAAAAGAAAACTGTCGAGCACGAGGAGGTAAACAATAAGAACAAAATTTATTAATCCCTAAAACCCCCTTCACCCACCCCCTGCTCCTCCTCCTCCTCTTCCTGTCCACTAAAAAAAAAAAAGGAAAAAGTAATAAAACGAAATAGAAATCGTGTATATTTCAATAAGTAATCCAAAATCCTGACGATCGTTCTACCGTGAAATGTGACTACTTATCTTTTTCTTTTTTTTTTTGTTACTTTGTGTTTTTATAATATTGCAGGTAACCCTATCCTATTAAACACGGTAGATAATTTCCTAGAAAATGCAGTGTTTTATATGAAACCTAAATTATTATTATTATATTATTATTATTATTATTATTATTCTTGATGGGACACACAAAAATCATGTTATCCAGTATTGTAGAAATTTGTTGTCGCAATTTTATTATTGTTAATTAGAACGAAACCATTGTTGTTATTGTTGTTGGAGGGTTTACCCCCTGCTCCCGTACCCCCTTTTCCTATTGCAATTTATGAATAACTTTATAGGATGGCATGTTGTAAAAAAAAGTTACTTTTTAAATTTGTATTTCTTATTGTTTTATTTTGTTTTTTTTTCGTACAAGATCAAAGACGACGAAGTACCGGACGATAATTGTAGCATCAACGACAACGACGAGGACATCATTTCGGAAATTAAAAAGGAAGGTACTCATAGGTTTATCAAAAAACGTGAGGAAGACGTTGTCGATTACGTCTCGGGTGGTGAAAAAATCGGACGTGAAATGCGTTACGTCGCTGAAACAACGGAAGGCGAACGAATCGGGGATTGGTCGTCGTCGTCACCCCCACCCCCACCACCAACACAATCAACCAATATGAGAACTACTAGGATTCATAAACATGCTGGTAAATAATTTCAATTAAATTGAATATTATATTCTATAGTTTTGTAACATGTTTTCGTGTATTATTATTGTTAATTGTTGAATTAACGTTTTCACTTATATGGGCATTTGTTATAAAATAATTTTAATTAGAATACATTTTTTGTTTTTTGGCTTTAGTTATATTATGTGTATAGTTTTTGTTTTAATAATTATAATCTTCGTATTGTTTTTTAATCATTGGAAGAACATAACGTCAGAAATGTGAACGTGAAGTACACCTAAGATTGGGATAACACAATACAAATGAATTATTAATTATTTTATTTTATTATATATACGATAAATTATTAAAAAAAGAAAATTCTAAATAATTCGTATTATCTTAAATTGAACCCCCCTGAGATAAAAAAATTATTCGTTAATAATATATTTAATCGAATAAAAATTAAATCTAAATGTATTAATTAATATTTCAGGTTTTCCAGGTGATTGTACGCAAACGGCAAGGAAAGATGCATTAACGAAGAAACCATTGGATTTGGAAGAGGAAGACGAGGCAAGGAAATTCGAGACATCGAAATGGTTAGAAAGTCACTTTGGTAGCGAGTCTCGTTCATCTCACGGTTCCATAGACGCTGATGATGGTCCTTTCATACCTAACACTAATACCAGTTACATACACGTCACGATGAAATCCTGCAATCCTGCAAGAGAAAGGGATTATCAGAACGTAAATTCTAATCGGCATCAACAGCAACAACAACAACAACAACATTCAGCTACCACAGGTCGTGATTCAAATTCACCGTCTGGATATTTTCATGGTATCAGTGAATGGTCGGAAAGATACCAAGGCAAAGGTACCTAATTATAATAAATATTATATAATTCAATCATTCTTTATTAATATATTACGAGTATTTTCAGATTTATTAGATAGATGACGGATATATACGGCACGCGTATACGCAAATTATTAGACTGATGCCGGTTATATCCGTCACTCGTATTCGAAAAGATTAACATGAATAATGATGAAAATATTTAATTTGAATGTTTAGATAAGGAAGACAATCACGGTAGAACGAGTTCACCGTCATCGCAACATTTGGAAACGTCCCGAATTAATGGACACTCACGGGAACATTCGAAAAATCAATTGGAGTCTACTTACTCGCGTACTTACGAGTCTATTAGACGACGGGAACATCAGGAAACTGTTCAAGATGATAAACAACGTACTACACCGTCACCACCGGCACGTAGAAAACCCAAGGAACAGGTAAGACATTTGATCGGATATTATTTCTACATAAAATCCAATGAATTATTAAATAATCATCGATAATTAACGATCAAAATCATAGTTACATTCGAGAATAGTCAAGAAAACAATTACGAACGAGTCACCGTCTGCTAGAACATCCAGTCCAGTTCACGTGGTACAAAGAACGTGGGAAAGTAGAACAAAGGATGTTCAAGAACAGACAATTGAACGTGATGCTCGTAAAAAATCAAGCCCAAGGTCCCGTTCGGGATCACCGAAACAAGTTAGGATCCTTCGGGAGGATAAGAAAATGATCGATAATTCAACAAATCCGTCACCACGACCATCTAAAAGTATAATCACGATATATATATTATTATTATAAAGAGATAGAAAACATGTATATTATAATATTATATATTTCACATATATTGGATTATTCTCTAATTATAATTTGTTTTCATTTGTAAAGGTAACAATAATCAATCGAAGTACAAGATAGGTGAATCCTTTCGAAAACTCGTTGGCAAATTACGTTCGGCTAGTACAGAAAGGAAGAACAAAAAATTAGGCAATTCTGTATCGCAAGTAACGCAAACTGATGACGACGGATCTACATACATGCAGTACAACGTAATCGATAAGAATATTCCATTGTTCAACGATCGTGAGATTGAAAATCATCGTATACCGGAGAGACCCCCAAGATCACCGAGAAATAATACAACCGTGGTGACCAAAGTAATATCGAGTAAACAACCAATTCGTACGATTGAACGTACGATCAATCGCGAAGATCAGATTCCTAAAAATGAGACAACTACAATACCACCACCTGTTCAAAGGTATTACCTAGGTGAGGATCCATTCGGGGGTAGCATTTATGGTCGTGAAAGAGGTTACAAAGATGCCAAACGTCCAACGAGAACTCGTCTTTTTACCAAAACAGGAACCCCCATCGATAATACTGAATACAGGTAATTCTATAATCTGTTTAAATAAATCGCCATGGGTTTATGTTACGCAAAAATTGTCTATCGGCAATAAGCAACAACAACAACAACAACAACAACAACAAGAACAACAACAACAACAAAATAAAAATTACACACACCTAGGGGAGCGGATGATGATCAGAATAAATAACTTAAGATAATAAAACATAGAACACAGCAACCGAGAGAGCTTTTTGCTTATATTGTATCGTCTAGCTGCGATTTTAATTATAGGGGTATATTAGGTGAAGGATGCATGAAAGATTAAATTAAAATCAAACAAAAAAATAAACAATAGCAGCAGCAGCAGTATCAGCAGCAGCATGTGTGCATCGGATATTTATTCTGTATAAATTTTTGATCAATCATATCCTGCGGTTATTTTATCTGTCGCTTAATTATTATTGTCAAAATTTTTGTTATATAATTCATCATGAAAAATATGTATTATTCGGATTTTGTTATTACTTTCTTTTTTCTATTTTGTTTGTTCTTTTGTCGAACGCGAATTACGTCTCCGTCCAACGTCAATTGGTGGACACTTCAGTGTCGTGACCAACTCACTCGGCAGGTTTAGCAAATCAACCAGTCGATTGACTAACTCGTATGAGACGGATGATCAATTCAGGAATGTCCAAACCTTACCAAGGAACATGAGGTCTGAGGGTAATGCAAATAATCAACATAACTCGTCGTCCTCGTCGTCAAGACAACAATTTCTTCAAAAGGCTGCTACTACTACTCCTACTACTACTACAAATAATTCATCTGGGATAATAACACCATCCAGACAATATGGCAGCATGATTAATATATCCATTAAAAATGCTGTAACATCATCTAAATCATCTCATCAAACAACATTACCAACTACAGCTCAATCTACGCCACCTGCCAAACCTGAAAGAACGTACAAGTCGAATTTAGCACGTAGCAAAAGTTTTAACATAGAAGCTGATAAAAATGTGATGATTGATAAGCCTAATATTAATTTACCTTACAAATCGAGTCTCCAATTGAATCGTTTGGACGAGACACCACCGTTAAAAAGTCCTGGAATTCTTGCTAGTATCAGTCGTAGTAACAGGGATTTGTTTAAGGATGGTAGAAGAGAATAGTAAATGTTAATTGTTTAATTATTACTTTTGTTTTTCTTTTTACAATACGTATATATATATTCGTAATATTTGTCCAACCCGTTGTGTTTTATTTCTTTATATATTTATTTTTGTTTTTTACACTTTTCTACGGTTTTTTTTTTTATTAATTTAAAAGACAAATTTGTTTGCAAAGCGTTCCAAATATCCTTTCTTTTTTTTTAACGTGACTTTTCTTTCCTTTTTTTCTTTCCCTCATCAAACATATGCAATTGTGCTAGGGGTTTTCTTTTTTTTTCTTTTTTAAATAAAATTTATTCTATCGAAGATATATCGTAGTACAAATATAATCTTCATTAACAAGCGGTTCGACATAGAGATCTATTTTTGTGTGTGTGTAGACAAAATATGTTAATAGAATGTTTAAGAAAAAAAAACAAACGAAAACGAATTTAAAATGATTATAATAAATATGTTTATTAGGATATATAAAACAAAAAATTAATGGCAAATATATCTCTCTCTCTATATATATATAATAGATATATGTGTGTGTGTATATATCTAAAACAAATGAGATTGAAAATTTGTTTGGTTCAATGATTATTACATTTTATCGCATTGTGATTTGAAATTATTGAACTTTTACTCTGGGCTTTTTGTTAATTTCTGTTAAAAGTCGTAACTTTTTCAAACCAAGTATTAAGATAAAGGCGTTGGTGATGTAAATGCTTATGCAAATTATACAAATACTTCGTAATAAATATAAAATGTATGCTAGATAAACGGAACAGATGTTTGATAAAATTCCTATAAATACAATCGTGATCACGCTGGAATGTTCGTTTATCATACCTGAAATTCAAAAATATATATGTATATACATATATATACATATATTCATTATATTTTGGTAGATTTAAAATGTAAAAAGAAATTGAAATGTTTCAAGAACAATTTACGTACTCAATCCTCCTATTAAAAGATAAAATCCCAAACCGTACAAACTGTTTGGAAAATAAAATGGAGAATTATTTGATATTAATCCTAATCCTTTGCCATATCTGAAATTACATATTTATAATTAATTAATTATATATATATATTCGTTATTAAATAATTTTTTTTTATTTTAATAATGTTATATATATATATAGATAATAATATTATTTATATTATAATTCACATTAATATAATATAAGGTATATTAGAACAAAAAAATAATGTTATAAAATTACCGAAAGTCGATAATTATATATTCTTGTAAAAATATTTATAATAATAACAATACGAGATGAGAATAATCAAAAATTTGTATCATCTTTTTACCGCAGAACAGAAAGATGGCATGAAATCATAACAGCAGAAACAAATGAATTAGTACTATCAATTGCACATTAATTGTACATTTAAAATCTATAATTACACACTTTATCAATTAATTATTTAATTAGTTATTAAAAATTGAAAATAAAAATGGATTAAATTTAGCATCTTTTTAATTATCAATAACTTGTAAAATAATTAATAATTAAGGTAAACAATTATGGATCAACAATGAGATGTTATTAAGCTATAAGTTGTACATAATAGTTTTTTACTGCCGTAGGTTTTCTATGGTGTCTTAATTTTATAGTAAGTTACCCTCAGATGTCGGTCGGTAAGATAAAGGTAGAGCACTACACTTACCGATATCGGCTTAGTAATGTTACTAGAATTTAAATATATTTTAAACTTTCTTATTTCCTAGTAACTATTTTTAATTAGTAGTGTACAGAAAGTGATTGTATAATTAAAACAAACAACAATTAGAAATCTAATATAGATATTTTGTTTTAATTATTAACTAAAGGAGTTTACTCGTTAAGAACTATTGTCTTAGAACTGGCGCAGGAAAAAAACTTACTAGATTAAAAAATAAACCTATATCACATTGGAGCTGGAAAGACTGGAGAAAAACGGACAAACAAAAAGTCAGCAATTGATTGAAAACAAAAAACAATAGAAAACTTCATTGCTTTGCTTAGAAATAGAAAAAAACGTTTTCTTTTTATTTTCAATTATTAATAACTAATTAAATAATTAATTGATAAAGTGTGCAATTATAGATGTTAAATGTACAATTAATGTACAATTAAGAGTACTCATTCATTTATTTTTGCTTTTAAGGTTCTACACCAGCATTCTTACGGTATTGTATTTTTATAATAAATAAATTAAGAAAACAATCGAATAAAAGTATAATTTATCATACGATTATCTAACATATTGAACCAATTTATACCACAATCGATAAAGTCACTCTCTTCTATGAAACATTACATAACCTCAATCAAGAAAAAAAATTTAAATAAATAACAATGAGTTACTTATCTTCCTACATATATAAAATATACAATGAACAAAAGAAGAATAAGAAAACGCACAACAATCTTAATTAAAAAAAAAGAAAAACAAAGAAAAGAATTTAAAAGTATTTAAATGTCGATGAAATCTAAGGAAAATTGTGTGCGTTTTCAAAGTCACATTAAAAAAAAAAAAGAAGGAGAAGATAATATTTAATGATAACCGACTTACCGAGACGTTAATATACTACTGCAACTCATATATTCATTAATATCGCACAAAGGTTTATAAGATTGATCACGTTCTTTCGTAGTTTCTACGATAAATGCATAATATGACAAAATCGTGCCAATTATGCAAGAAAAAATCAATCCGGTTGAAACTTTTCTCAATGATTCTGGCGTAGTAGACATTGTTATTGTAATAATAACAAAACAACTAAAGGCAAATTCTTAATCGGATTAAATATAATATTACAATGTTAATCTTTTATAACGCGTACATATACACACACACTCACGCACGCACGCATATACATACAATCGTATAATTAAAAAAATATAAATTATAACGATTAACCGATATGAAATATTTGAATAGCGAATAAGAAAATAATTCAACAGACGATGTTTCCTTGAGAACGTCTCTAAATGTTATGAGAACCCTGTAAATTGTTCTTACGACGTTATAATCACAATAGATGATTCATATGCGTTGAAGAAGAGGGGTTTTCGGTATCGATTTACGTCAATTTCCATTAACTTTGCATATGCACTTGATCCAAACAAGTTGTTTATCGAACCCTAGATTATCTGAACGAGAAAAGAAAAGAAAAAATAATTCTAAATTAAAATTTCATTTGCAAAGCACACATACACAGAGACACAAACAGCAGACACCGATTATTATACTTTATCATTTTCATTTAATTTATGATAATTCGCGTATATTACTATTGAGGTATATTATAACACCTTACGAAATGATTTATTATTTACTTATAATTTTGTACATTATTTATTATTTCATTTTTTGGATGGTCTTATGTTAAACTAATAGGATTACTAATCATGGAGAAATATACTTATATATAAGTATTTTTCATTTGCGATTATAATGCATAAATACTTGGTGTTTGATATTACAAGAGAGAGAGAGAGAAAGAAAGAGAAAGAGAGAGAGAGAGAGAGAGAGAGAGAGAGAGAGAGAGAGAGAGAGAGACTTATCACCTAGTAATCCTTACTTCTATATCATCCTAATAAAAATAACAATAATTACTAAAATTAATAGGTATTTTTGTATTACATCAAATCTTAATAGACCGCTTTTCGAAATCAGAAAAATACCATACTTTGTATTATTCTAATGCTTACCAGTTATTCAAAGATTTATTATTTTTTGTTCATTTTATATAATTTTCCATAGACAACGTAGCAGCAGCAACAATTGATACAAAAAAGAAAAGAAAAGAAAAAAAAAAACAAAAAAAGGAAAAACAAAGAAAAGAGCCCGAGACAATAAATGAATTTTGGAGCAATTGACTCTTTCTGAAGATGTAAAATTTGTTAATATAATTTATATATTATATCACTATATATATTGAATCTTCTTTTTCCACTTTTTCTTTTTACTTATAAAAAAATATTTATCGAATCAGTTAACTAAAAATAATGTTGCTAAAGATGAATTAGATGTTGTTATTATATATTAACACGGTTATTATTCGTGTTAAGTATAATGTTGATTTATTTCTTATTCTTGCGGTGCCATTGCTCGTGCTTGTGCTCGTACTCGTTTCTCATATTCCAAGCGATTTTGACTGGAACGATTAAAGAAATGAAATTAAATGGTTATTCGTATAATACACAGAGATCGATAACATATACTTATTATTATTTCATTTGATTGCGTACCAATAAATAGTGTACGCTTCTGCTTGGGCTGGATCTTTGACATTTGGTTCGTTGAGTAAATCTTGGATGCCTAAAAGTATTTGTTTAATTGTTATTGCAGGTCGCCAGTCTTTTTCTTCGTCTAGTAATGATAGGCAAACTGTTCCCGATGGATAAACATTTGGATGGAACAATGGCGGTTCAAATTTGCATTTTGGTGGACTGGAAGGATAATCATCTTTAAAGATCATACGTAACTTGTATAAACCACCTTCCCAAGGTGTCTGAAAAAATTCACACACAAACACAAGAAGTATATATATATATATATATATATATATATATAAATTGAAATTATAAGATTTAAATTTATATTAATTAAATATCATAAAACGTTTACAGATTTTTTTCCTGGAATTGCACATTCCCAACTCATCAAGTTAAGGGTACCATCTGGATTTTTGGTCGGCCTTGCCACAAAACCCTTAAACGATAACATCAATTATATTCATTATTTTATCTATGTGAAAATACTTTGATATATGATATTTACATATTTGGGATGGGGGGAACACAACATTTAAATCATTGTTATTAAGTTATTCATTTATATAATGCATATAAACAATTATTTGTTTTTGCACATATGATAAGTAAGGATGTAATTAGGAAAAGAAAAAAAGGGCGCCTAATTTGTTAATACTTTCTAAAGACACAATTTATGAAATGATTGTTTAATTGAATTATTCCTACAAATATATGTGACAAATCAAAATCATTTCTTTTAACTCATTGCATTGAATATATAATGAAAATACATACAAACGGATGATCTTTTCTCCATGCTTTACGTTCCTCGGCGAGTCTTGCAATTGCAATGCCAGACATTTTTCTATAACAAAGTCGGCACTTTATATTATAATTATGAAATAGAAGATGGTGAGAAAAAAAAAAAGAGATGAAAAAAAGGTTAAAAAACTTTTAACAAGCGGTAAACGTGTACGAAGTTCCTGTGATCACGGTAACGATTACGAATATTTTTTTACTTTAAATCACATACACCAATTTTTGCGTTGAATTCTCAGTAATACCATCGAATTGTACTGTATTACAAAGACAACTAAACGTGTTCCTAAAAACTATGATCTTAAACCCCTATTTTGGATTCACGTTAAATGATTGGTTTATATCATTCATTTTGTTGTAAACACTTTTGACGAATCGCGTTATTTTCATGTAAATAATATAAGATATCAAGTTTTGGACAAATTCCTAGGTCAATGACCACTCAAATGCTATTATCAATTTGTCCAGTACGTTCATTGGTTTTTTACAATAATACTATTCGATAAGTAAACTTAATAAGTCGTTTTTATGAAAATTATTTTTCATAATAGAATTAATTGTATCGTTTCGATGTATAAAATATAATGAATTTTAAATGATAAACTATATTAATTAGAAAAAGTTATCAATCATTCATATTACCTTCCGTCGGTAATAAAGTTTCAAATTTCTTGGACAAGTTTTAACAGAAATGACCAATAAGAGATTATTTTAACAAATTATGAATAAACTATAAATGTATTATTGTTAGTGAAATAATTTTTCTATAAAAAAAATATATATATATATATATATATATA